AGCCACGTCGGGCCCCACACCGGGTTTTGGTCAGTGCCCATATAAAAAAACGTCCCCGGGTAGTTTCTCAGTTTCGGCAGTGGAGTTCCAGCAGTTGATACACAGTTACAGTCAGACCGTTGCCTCGCAGAAGCTGACCGAGAGGTTTTCACATTCTTTTCAACTTCGACTTCCTACCAAAAGCAAGTTATATTGACGAACAACTTAAGATACCAAAACTACTTAAGAAGTGTCACAAATCCATAGAAACATGCTGGGCGAAAAACACACTCTTGTATATAACAGACGGATAAAGATAAGTTGTTATTTCTCAACATATTTGAACCTCTTGAGTTTTGTTTTATTTATAAAGCCTGAATTTATATGATGTTCATGCCTCAGCCGTGAATGTAAGTGTCATTACATTTTTTGGAGTTATTGAGAGAGAGTATACATTTTTCTCCTTCCAATCACTGGTGGGAAGTTTTATCTTTGCATATGAAGGTCATGATGAAGCGTTTGGTAACCACCCATTGGAGTGCACATTACAAAGTTATTCATGCAGTGTAAACAGGATTTCAAGGAGTGATACAGTCACTTGATTCATTAACCTCAGCTTCAGAAAATCTTCAAATGAGAGGGGATGCACATATCATTTTTGCTTTCAATTGAAAACTTCTTCATGTCACATTTGTTTTACTGGGAAGAAATTCTGGAACAAATAAATCTCATCCAAAAGAAACTTCAAGAACCTGTTATTGGTTTGGATGTGTGTATAACCCACATGGATGCAACTAAAATTTTCTTTAACCGAACCAGGAACAGGCTGAATTGGTTAATCAAAGTAAAGCAAAGTGCAAGGAAATGAAAAAGTGGATTAGAAGACAGAGAAATCAACCCTGGGGGGAAAAAGGAAGATGATGTTATGTCAAACACTTGTACAGGAAGTAAAGAGAAATCTTCATGAATGTCATGCTCGACTTGTAAATTAACTGGAAGCACAATTTGGTTCCATGTCTCATCTATAAACTGTCTTTGCTGGATTATCATTGCAAGCAATCCTGGAAGATACTGAAGGTGAGTTGGAATGAAAATTTAAAATATGGTGATGACTTAGATGTATCTAGGCTGCCTTTGGAAGTTCTTCAATTTCGGGATTTTTTAGCGTCAGCTTCCAAAAGTGGAATATGACATGACCATGATGATCAAATCATTGGCTGAAATGGATTTATCGATGGCAAGTTTAAGAAACAGTGCCAAATATTGTGATTGCTCTACAGCTGTTTTTGACACTCACAGTTTCTGTTGTTACTACAGAGAGAAGCTTCTCAAAAATGAAGTTCATTAACAGTCACTTGAGATCGACTATGTCACAAGATCGCTTATCCAATTTATCCCTCATTTCAGTTGAACATGAAACTGTGGAGAAGATAGACTAAAAATATGATAACGTTTGTTCAGCTATTTTTTGAATTTGTTGTTTTTCAAGTACTAATCAACGCCATTAAGGATATTTCATTTATATTATTCCTCCAAAAATGGGGGTGCCATTATGAATACGGGGCCTGGGTGGCACTTTGTCTCAGTATGCCTCTGGTTGGTGCTTTTGTTTCTTCAGTTCCCACCACAATGGTTCAATTATATTGAGATCAGGACTTTCTGCTGAGCAGAACATCTTCATCTACAAGAAAACTTTTTGTCACAAAGTGTAACAAGGAGCACTATCATGTTGAAAAATGTCTTCAATTGTATTGTTGGCCTGATTGACCAACATAATAGATACTATTTATGCTGTGTCCACCACAACTTCAGACAAGCCTACTTTGTCATTTTCAGAGCTATATTCCTCTACTGAGGTCAGCTGAAAAATTCTTTCTCGCACTCCTTCCTTTTTCACCAGCCTACATCTACCTGATACAGCTGTCCTTGAGGGTAATTTATCATCATCAACAAGTACTGATGCTGACCTATCAGGGGCACTCCCTAATGGCATCTCCACACTATTGACAGTCAACACGGTGGGGTTGAATTCCACATGTGCCCCATGTCGGTGCAATCAATCTCCCCACAGAAATCTAGGACCACATAGAATTTGTGGACACTAGTTGTCTCTCCTACCTTCACTGGGAGCCTTAACATTCATGTTATCTTCATTAGGTTCCTGTCCATCTGATCAATTTCTATATCGGGTCTTATTAACCAACTCTGCAGCTTCAGGCTTTTGTACTGATCCTCTCCTATTAAGAACACTGACACCCCCATGTCTATCAAGGCCCTCATTGACTTTCCATTTTCCAGGAAAATTTCCTGCTCCACAGGAAATTTTCTCCTCTTGGATCAGCAAGGAAAACATCCTGGCTACCCTCCCTCTGGAGCAATATCTGCTTGTGCATTTAGACACAAGTTCCGACAACAATGACATCATCGCAATAGTGTGGGGTTTGCAGACGTCGTCATCTATATTGTGGTACCCCCAAGCAGCTATTCTGAGGTTCACCCTTCCTATTTCTATAGGGGCAGTTGGTGGCAAAATGGCCAACCTGGCCACATGCCTGACATTGCATACTTCTCCTGTAGGGGCAATTTCTCTTCAGGTGCTCTGGTTCATTACAGAACCAGCACCTTCTTCCAGGGTAGTTGGCAGCAAAATGGCCAACCTGGTTACATGCCCAGCATTGCATCACCCTTCTATTTGTCCACCATCCCTCTTACTTTGTGTGCTGAGGCAGACCCTTGATATTCCCCTGGTTCTATTTTCCAGGGGGCAGGTTCTTGTAACAAGGAACTCTGGTGGTTCTTTCTTTATCCCACACCACCTTGCCTTATGTCCATGATGACTGCACCTAGTGCATCTCAGCTTGTCATAAAACAGAGGTAATCCCCACTTCATTGGGCAGTTTACATAATAACAGGTCCAGTATACTAGCCCCAATTTCCACACCCTTCTATAAGGAATCTCTTCCCATTCCTCAGGTTCAACCTCCTCCTACTTCACTTTCCTGTCCTATGTGAGGGGGTTCCTATCCCCACCCTACCTCCTGCTTGTGTTCCCTTACCTTTCACTTTTTCCTAAATTCTGTGGCTATCCTTTGCTAAGGCAATAGTTGCCAACAGCTTGACCTGGGCCTCCATGATCACGTCACGCCTAAGGTACTCATTTTGGAGGGCCTCCACATACAAGTCAGCCAACTGAGCCTGTATGGCAGCATTTTCCCTAGCTTCTTCTGGAAATACCAGAACAGCCAATTCCTCAGCCCTTACTCCCAATTCTCCAGGAGATTTGCCCTTCATCTGGGCCAGCTTCATGAGGCCCTTTCATTGCCTCCACTGGCATCCCCTCATCCGCATATTCAGTTACTAATATCCCCTTCAATTCAATGTTATAAGACAAAAAAAGAAAGTTGTGTAAATCAACAAGGTTTATATAACTGAGGCTTATACTGGAACAGTTTTTCGTATAAGAATCTACAAGCATGCAGGCCAACAACCATTTCCTTATAGTCTAATTTTGTGACACTTTGTTCTTCATTTCCAAGTTGGAGTCGAGGTTTCAAACTTTAAATCAAAGACTTCTGCAGGCAGCAAATAACAGAATGCTGATGACACATTCATCTCCCTCTTTCTTTCTCCCTCTGTTATATAGACTTTCAATTCTTCCACTTTGCAATTTCATCAGGGCACTCGGCTCAATTTATCTAATAGTGTGGAACAAGGCATTAGTCAGGAGTTCTTTGTGGTAGCAAATCACATGGCGTCTCTGCCACAACTACTGCTCTCTGTCTGTCTGTCTTCCCTTCTCACTTCTGAGAGGTATTTATGGAGTTCAACCTCCAAAAACTGGGTTGGTGTTGGCTTGTTCTGGGATGCCTTCAAATCTCCTGTCATGCAATCATATCTCTCCATGAGTGCTGCTAGGTGGCCCTTGTATGTCCAAATATGGGGAGTTCCCTCTGCAAGCGGGGTGGCAATAGCAACACGTCAATCCACCATCTTGTTCTCTCCCTTGCTTGCACCTCACACCAGTATCTTTAAGTGGGCATATTGATTTTCCTCCCACTTCCTCACATCAACTTCTCACACTGTCACCATCCAGGGAATAGGAGATCCACCTGACTCATGAATACCTGACACAAAACATATGTTATTTCTAATGTCATCATAAAATTATTATCTGCTCTCTGGGGTGGTCTCTTAGTCATCAGACAAGGCCAGCACCCTTTCCCACACACCGTACATTGGTTCTAGCTAGCAAAACAAATTAGATGTCATATCCAATTAGTGCTGGATGATTCAACTTTGGCCAAGTGGATTTCAGCACTATCTCCTAGCAAGGTCTTTATTTACAAAATGAGAAACAAAATAAAAGTATATTTTCTTTTGTTTTTGGTATGTCATTCAATCTATCTCTTACCTTCTTCGTTTTTGTGTTCTAAAAATTGAATGTGTAGAGCGGATAATAATATTGTTAAAAGATTGAAAAATTCACCGTTAACACTGACCATGTTTCAACATTATAGTATCATCAGGTGGTTTTTGGTAAATAATTAGTTTGTAGTACTATATTTTCCCATTTATATAACCTAACCTAACACCATAAAGGAAAATCACCAAGAGGGAAGGGGTGAGGCAGAAGTAGGTAGGAAGTGAGGAAAAAAAAACAAAAAAAGATTTTGTCATGTACATCCTCATCCAGGTTCATATTGGGCCAGAGTGAATTTATTAACGTGTCTGCATTTGGACATTACTTCAGACTGTTCGTTTAACAAGTTGTCTCTGTCCAGGTATGTCACAATGGCTAGCTTTTCCTCTTGACACAATCTGCAAACACTGTTTTTATCAAAATTTTTTTCCTCACTTCTGGTTCTACCACTCTCTGAGGATATCTTGTATAGTTCTTATTTACTAAATTCTGAAAACATTGTCAATAATAACAAAGATGAGAACAATAATCCGCATGTAAATAATAACTCCTCATCCCAGAAACTCGGACAGACATTATATTTTTGTTTGAAATTACTTACTTGAGGATCAGCCAAAGAGTCTTTGCCACCTGAATACAATGCAACAGGTACATCCATTTGAGTTACATTGTATTGTGGAGGAAATGGCTGTAATAAAAGTTTAAAATGATTAAAGATGGTGCAGATCATTAAAAAAGAAATTATCAAAAATGAGAATTTAAACATCTATAAGGATAAATGATATTGTAAAGACCATTTTGAAAATTGTAGTTTGCTCAAAAGATAATTTACTGCACTTCTTTATATTTATCTATCATTTCAGATATAAAATATAATTTTCTCTCTTTTTCTGTAAGTAAAAATTAAATAAATTGCATAATGTAAGGAAATGGTTCTGATTAGTAAATGTTATTCTTACATAACAATGGCTGCTCTACTTTAAATCAAAACTGAAAATTTAATCAAGTATGTAACTAACTTCTCTCATTATAATCATAACTAGCATTTTTGGTAAATAAGTGCAATCTTTGTTTCTGAATAATTAAATTTTTTATATTAATGAATTCTTTGACATTTCATAATTATTGCAATTCAACAAATTTTACAACATAAAAAAGAAATATGAAAAAAAATTATATATTTTTTATTAAGCATTTCATCCCAAGTGAGTGATGGTGAGAAAATGACAGCAGTTTCCTTTTGGATGCATTAAAATTCATAAGCCATTTCCTGCCTCAGTCAACCACAGATCGGAGGTTGTTTTCTAGACCAACGGCCAGGTTAACTTTGTCAGCAATGCTGGATTTACTATTGAGACATGAGTAAATGGTAGTGTCGTCTGCATAGATGCCTACTTGAGAACTGATGATGTCAGGAAGATCATTGGTAAAGATCAGAAACAGGACCAAGGATAGAGCCTTGAGAAACACTAGCATTCATATGGAAGGAACTGGAAGAGAACCCATTCAGGACAACCTTCATTTCACAGTTAGACAGGAATGATTGGATTAAATCAAATAATCATCCTGTAATACCATATCCCTGAAGCTTATGTAGAAGGCCAGCATACTAAACCCTGTCAAGCACCTTCAATATATCTAGAGCAACAGCAGACCAGGCAAAGCGGAAAACATATTGTTTGTCAAAGAGCAGATCATAGGAGGTGAGATGCTTAACTACTTTGACATTGATTAAAGCCTCAAAGACTTTGCCAAAGAGTGATAGGAGACTGATAATATGGTAGTTAGATGGTTCAGAAGGGTCTCCAGAGTTCTTAAAGACTGGGATGACAGAGGAAGACTTCCAACAGACTGGAATGCAAGAATCAGCAAGGCAATAGTTGTATAGTTTAGAGAGAACTGAAGGCAGCACAGGGGCACATTTCTTTAGGTCTATGGCTGGTATCCTGTCACCACCACTTGCTTTATGAGAGTCTAATTTAGAGATGATATCTAATACCATTGACTGGGTTATGCACATCTCACTCAGTATAGCCTCAGTTCTAGGGGGAAAATCAGGTTGACTGATTTTTAATTTACTTAGAAAATTCACACTTTGTTTTATTTTATAATTAAAATGTCAAACAAATATTTAAAACTTACTTGATGATAATGCAATTCATTTTCTTCTTTGGAGCCAAAATCAAATTTGCTGCAGGTTTTGGTTCGAAAATTCTAAAATAAAGTAATATTATAGTTTATATTTTTTATATTTCTTCATCTTTCACTTACAGATAGATGCATTCACATGATTATAAATTAAAGTGAATTAACAGTAATATTATGAGGGAGTACTGAAAAGAAACCCCAGAAACTCTGTTTGATCAGATCAAGAATTTTTCAGCACCTACTCTTACAGTGAATGGCTGTTTTCTGTTTAGTATATTTTATTCAGATGCCACCACAGAAAACACGGTACCAAGGTTTAAAATGAATTTTGAAAAATAAAAAATCTTTCTTATTTTAGTTTAAATTTCAAGCTAATAGATAAAATTTAATATTTCCAATAACCAAAATTCTTACCTGTATTACAAAACAAATTGAAATTGAATGTAAGAAGAAGTATTGATGATTTAAATTCTCCAAGGAATCCTGCTTTTAACCAATATAAATATGAAGAGGGTAGAATTTGAATTTCTCAAAATTTCATAAAATTAAATAAGTGGGGGTAATAGATATAAAAAAAAATTACCAAAATTTTCAAAAATAATTTAATTCATTTGTGAATAAGTCCTGAAAATTTCATTAAAATCTGGCAATTATTTGATTTTTGCAAGATTTTACCACAAAAAAGACACTAAATTACCCATACAAATGTTTAGCCCACCTGCTAATACAAGAAAAAGATCTTAACCAAAATTTCTAATGTCCTAGAAAGGATTAAAAAATTTAATAAAATAATAAAAAATTACTTTGGTCTTTCCTTTTAATAATAACAAAGATTTTGATGATAAAACTTTTTTTTATCAAGTTTGGTTTCTTTTTCATCATGGTATGCTCTTTTTTTAATCAAATTATTGGCAGTACCTAATTTTATTGTTTTTTTAAAATTCTAGCTTCTAGCATATATATATACATACACACACACACAGTGGGGGGAACAAATATTCACACACATACAAATGTTTAATTTATTGTATTTACAACTAATGAATAAACATACTTTTCATATAATTAACTGTACACAGATGCATCATAACTAAATATGCATAGACAACAAAAAAAAAATGATTTAATAGAAATAAATCCCATTTATTCATTTTAATGGGTGAAAAAAGTATTTGTACAATGTAAATTTCAGATTTTAAAACTCTTAAATTGCATTAATACTCTAGATTATTCAAATGGAATATTCTAGATTGTTCCTCTAATGTTATCAGTAGTTATTTTTAGCCTAAAAAATATAAAAGAACATTCTGTGATTGATATTCGTGCAAGAACGTTATCATCATGACAAGAGGTAAATAATTGACAAATTTTCAAAATGAATTGATTGTTAAGCTCTGGAAAGAAGGTAAAAGTTACAGGAAAATCTCAGACAACCTGAATATTCCATTTAGTTATTATTTTTTTATTATTATTATTTAATTCATTGCAAGGTATAAAAAACTCAAAACTGTTGAAACCAAAGAAGAACAGGTGGTCCACAGAAGATTTCTTTAAGATATTCAAAGAAATTAATGCGTCAAATTAAACAAAATCCAATGGTTACATGTCAAGTGTTGCAGGATGATTTGCTTTCATCAGGAATCTGGACTAAATGGATAATAAGCAATGAAATTGTAGTGAAAGAGAATCATTTACCCCCACCAAAAAGTTTATGTTTTGTGTGCAATCTGCCGAAGAAAAATTACCAAAAAGTATTTAGCAAAAATCTACTTCAATGACTAGAATCTATGCTAATGTTCTCCCCTCCCCTCCCCTGAATGGTATGACCAATCAGAAAAATCTCGATGAACCAAAGCCGTTGTTTTTCGCTTATAAAGGCAGAAGATTTTCTGAGCTGGGGAGCTGAACACGCATTTTTGCTGGTGAGAAGTGAAGGTTGGACATGTGACCCCATTTTATTGTTTCTACTTTGCTTGTAGGACTGTTACGATGGGCTATCATTTGAACTGCGATTTGGCTACAAGTGTTGCGGTTGAGAAACAAAAGAAATCTATTGCAGTTGCTACTATAAGTTGACAGTCTTTTCTTTTCTTTACTACAACAGAAATTCATAGGAATAATCTAAAGTCATGCTCCCCTCAGAAAACTCCACTGCTGTTGAAAAGACACAGAAATGCCAAGTTGAAATTTGTTTGTAAACATAAGGATAAGGAAAAATCATATTGGGAAAGAATATTGTGAACAGAATAAACCAAAATTGAATTGTTTTGATGTAATTCTAGAAATCATGTATGGAGGAAAGATGACAATGTCTTCAAACAAAAGAACTCAGTTCCAACAGTGAAATTTGGTGATGGCAGCATCATGGTTTGGCGATGTTTTCTACAAAAGGTACTGGCAACACATCAGTAATAAATGGTAGAAGGAATGCTGCAACATATCAAAATATTTTGGAAGCAAATTTAATGATTTTGGTTGAAAATCTTGATCTTCCTCTGACTGGATCCTCCAAGATAATGATCCTAAGCACACTGCACAATCTACAAAGAAATTGCTGTAAATATTCTAAAATGGCCAAGTCAGTCCCCAGATTTAAACCCTGTGAAAAATCTGTGATGTTATTTGAAAATTCAAATCCAATCAAGAGCTCCAACAAACATCCTGGATCTGAAGACCATATGCGGAGGAGAATGGAATAAAATACCAACTAAAATTTGCAGATCATTAATTGAGAACTACAAGAAGAGATTGGTTACTGTAGAAGTGAATAATGGCTATCCTACAAAATGTTAAATGAAGATTATGTATTCTTTTTTGTATTGTATGAATACTTTTTTCACCCATTAAAATGGATAAACTGGATTTATTTCTATTACATCAAATTTTTTTCTGTCTTCTATGCATATTTAAGTTATTATGCATTTGTATACAATTAAATATATAAAAAGTATGTTTATTCATTAGGTGAAAATACAATAAATTAAAAATTTGCATGTGTACAAATATTTGTTTTCCATCACTGTATATATGACAAAAGGAAAACTTTCCTTTACCAATGTACATCCTTTGAATAAGAGACTTTATCAAGATAAAGGGAGACATTGCAACTTGTATTTATAAACAGAAGTAAAATGGAGGAAAAAAATCTTAAGTTTTCAAATTTTAAATTTAAGAGCATGCTAAAATATGTTTAAAATCAATTATATAAGAAAAGGTAAACTATGGAGGAGACTAAATGATGTAGATTATTGCCTAATAAATAAAAGTGAGTAAATTTTGTTGAATCTTTATTTATTTATATATTTTTTAATGTAATTATTATTCATTATTTTATTTTGATAAATTATTTATGCATTTATTTACATTAAATATCTAATGGTCTTGAGCTGAACATTTTCTTTTAATTTTTAAAAAATTTATGGTCATGTATGTTGGCTGGGGAAAGGAGTATCTCCTTTACAAAAGGAGCTATTTGAAAACATCCAGGGCATAAGTTAACATTTTGGCAAGAATTGCACCCTCAAGAATTTTTTTTTTATCTAAGTAAGTTATTTTATCTTCTAATAAGTGTAACATTCTTCAGGTTGTTTGTTAATCCTTTTGGTGAATTTCTCCTGTTGTCAAATAAGCTGTTTGATGTCAGGTGGAAAACTTTAAAGAAAGATAGCAGTCAAAAATACCCTTATAAACCATGCAAAATTCATATTTCCCCAATAACAATATTCTATAAAGAATTAACCAATTTTAAACAAATACTTAATAAATATAAGTAATAATGTTTTTCCAAATCATGATGTCACTGAACAAATGAAATTATTTTTAGACAAATAAATATAACATACATAGTAAACCCAATTCAAACCATAACAGAAATACTATTAACTTATTTTACTGTATTACTCAAGATTCATAATTTTTTTTAATCATTTTACCCCAAACAAGGTGATAAAGCCACTAACATACAAGGGGTTATTGCGAGTGAAACAAACAGAAAATATTCTTGAGGAAAAAGGACAGTAAGAGAACAATATTTAAGGAGACAAAAGAATACAACTGATGCTGCATTTAAATTTTTGAAGGTCATAGCTGACAGGAAAGCAAAAGAACTGGAAGAGACTTCCACAAGTGAGAAATGCAAGAGAAGAAACTATTAGAATAGAATTTAGGGTTATATTTAGCAATTTCAACAGAGAAATGATGAGACCTAACCACCAATCTAGTACTATGCTTAAATTCATGAAATTAAGGTACCAAAGAAAACATCATCAGGTCAATTGCCATGAAAATATTTATACAGTGGTGGGAAAGTGATTGAAGCTGCTGTATCAGGTCAAAACAAATAACATTGCAGATCCTTGTTTGGGTCTTATCAAAATTCTCTAGATACATACCAGAAGCACCAGGCCAGATCCATCATCAATATTCAATGCACAGATGAATGGTAGACTTATAAAGGTGCAAGACAGATTTGGGTGAAAAAATTGTCTAGCACAACACAGTGACCCAACGTTTCTGGCAGCAGACTTAGCATTTGAATTGATATACTCATTCCAAATGATATCAGTGAAAAAACGTAGACCAAGGAGGCAAAATTAGTTACTTTCCTGGAGGTTAGCAACAGATAGAAAGCAAAAAAAATGTTTCCTAAGACTACTGAAAGAGAGCAGTTTAGTTTTAACAAGCCATTTTTGCCCCAGTTAACAACAGATTGAAGGTTTATTTTCAAGATCAGCTGTGAATTTAATTTTATTGAACATAGATTTACTCTAAACACTAGAGTAAATAGTTGTGTTATCAGCATAGATATTGAGTTGAGACCTGATGACATTGGGAATGTTATTAATAAAAATTAGAAACAAAGTAGATCTAAGGATAGAACCCTGGAAGACACGGCCATTTATATAGAAACATCAAGAAGATTGACCATTCAAGACAACCTTCATTTCATGATTTGATAAGAAAGACTGAATCAAACCACAAAAGAAACACCATAACCCTTCAACTTCTGAAGAAGACAAGCATACCAAACCGTGTTAAACACCTTCAAAATACCTAAAGCACTATCA